CAGGTGAGAAAGCAGTTTTTAGGGCCTAGGGCGGAGGTGGGGGGTGTCGGAATTTCCTGGAGACTCTCTGTTGTAGTCATTTGTTTACTCTTGCCAGCTGCTGTAGAATGAGCGCCGTTAAGTTCCAACATCACTGTTGGTACTGATTTTCATAGTGCGTTTAACGCGACGGTAGCCAAGATAATTTACATGCAACAATAAGAAACAACTCAACGTTAATATTGGATGGGGTGAGAAATTCATACCATGTGAATCGTCACATTTTCGGAAAGCTGTCCGCTAACTTGCCTCAGTCACCCGCCGACAAAAAGACAGTTTTCGGGTTTTAAAGTGGCTTTGCTATCGCTCAGCCAAAAAATTCATTCCGCCAATAAAGAAATAAAAAAGGGGTTAGGGAAGTGCCGCCAAAGACTTTACTGCACCCTATTCCCTTTAGTCCCTTTCCCCGAGGGTCGCGTTCACACTTCCCTTACGACCAAGGCGAAAGCCAACCAACGAAACCCAAAAACTAAAACAAAAGAACTGGAAAGGAAAGCCTCTCCCATTTTCCTCTCCGTTTCTCTCTCACTACTTTCCTTCTCGTCGACTCGCGGCACGGAGCGTCCACATTGTTATTCATAATATAGGCCACGCCGGCCACGCCAGACCGCGGCACCCCGGCACTGCAGGAATGCAGATGTGACTCCCACTATCAGTGAGCCACTCTGTCTGTCTGTCTGTCTGTCTGTCTGTCTGTCTGTCTGTCTGTCTGTCTGTCTGTCTGTCTGTCTGTCTGTCTGTCTGTCTGTCTGTCCGTCCATGCGTCTGTGCATATGTGCCCGCTTGTCGGCAGAACACGGTTTCCTCTCTCACCGTTCATGCCCCGCCTGCCCCGGGCGACGGGCGCCGTGGCGGTGGGCAACCCAACCGGCTTCCCGCGCCCGGGGGCTAGGCAGCCCAACTTGTCCCGGACAGGGAGCTCTGCTTCAAAATATCCCGCCGAAACGGAGACTGCTTATGCGTCACCTCGGCATGGATTGGTCCATCTCCGGAGTGCAGACGCAGCGTGCGCGGTGGAAACCGGTGGAAACGGACACTCGCCGTTCGCCGGTGCGTCCAGCACACTAAAGAAACAAAAACCGATGACGGGCCGATGCTAGAGGCATCTAGCCGTTGGCTGCCGTTGGCCAGGCTCAGACTGGCCAGAGCAGACAGGCAGAAAAATCTTCCGGGGCCTTCGGGTTTGGGACCAGTAACGTCACAAAGTTGGTCAAAAAGTGATTGAATCTCCGAAAGTAGCCGTTTTCGCAGAATTTGAGCGGCCACTGCGTCCGATCTAGTTTGTGGCCAACGGCCTCCCTCGACGCCCTAGTATTCTTAAGACCCTACTCTTTCATGCCCTGTATCGGGAAGACGTTGACCACAACGATTTTGCCTTTGACCGCAACGATTTTGGGACCAAAGTTGGTCGAATCTCGGAAATTTGCTGATTTGGCTGACTTTGGGCGGCTACTGTGTCCAATCTAGTTGCCGTAAAAGGCCTCCCTCGACGTCCTAGTATTCTTAAGACCCTACTCTTTCATGCCCTGTATCGGGAAGACGTTGACCACAACGATTTTGCCTTTGACCGCAACGATTTTGGGACCAAAGTTGGTCAAAAAGTGGTCGAATCTCGGAAATTTGCTGATTTTGCTGACTTTGGGCGGCTACTGTGTCCAACCTAGTTGCCGTAAAAAGCCTCCCTCGACGTCCTAGTATTCTTAAGACCCTACTCTTTCATGCCCTGTATCGGGAAGACGTTGAGCACAACGATTTTGCCTTTGACCGCAACGATTTTGGGACCAAAGTTGGTCAAAACGTGGTCGAATCTCGGAAATTTGCTGATTTTGCTGACTTTGGGCGGCTACTGTGTCCAATCTAGTTGCCGTAAAAGGCTTCCCTCGACGTCCTAGCATTCTTAAGACCCTACTCTTTCATGTCCTGTACGGGAAGGTTATTGACTAGTTTGGGAGCGGTAGCCTCACAAAGTTGGTCATGAAGGGTAAAACAATGATGATCGGGGGCCTTTTGCGGTCTTATCCGCCGGGGCCTTTTGGGGGCCAGTCCGAGCCTGCCGTTGGCTGCCAATTGGTCGGCCGCTGGAAACCTCGATGACTTTTTATTTTGCAAAAATTATTTCATATTTACTATTATTTTCTCTTTGTTTTCCGCGTCAGAAATGAATCGGTTCCGATGGCCTCCCCTCGCTCCGTAGTCGCGTCCACATCAGTCTGCACCCGTTCCCGAGTTCCGCGTCAATCCACCGGATTGTCTTTTCACATATAAATTCCTACAAAGAACTGCTCTTTGTAATACGAAGAAAACGGCGGCTTCGCAGCCTGCGAAGAAAATCGTTTGTAATACGAACGATTTTCTTCGTAATACAAAGGAAAAATCCTTCGCAGGCTGCGAAGAAGTTCTTCGTGGGCTACGAAGAATTTTTCCTTTGTATTACAAAGAAAATCGTTCGTATTACAAACTATTTCCTTCGCAGGCTGCGAAGCCGCCGTTTTCTTCGTATTACAAAGAGCAATTCTTTGTAGAGTTTTAAGTGTGTTCTTCCGGTACGCGGACTTGCAGGGCCGCAGGACGCCACACGTCTCCGCGGCTTCCGCCCTTGGACTGACCTTGGCCGGGCCTTGGCCGGGCCGGACGGCGTATTGCACTTCGGAAAGACTAGCGAGTCACGGAAGCCGTTTTAACTTGACATGAAGGTAATTCGGTCTTCACCCTCTCTCCCTGGGCGCTCATCAGGATCAGAATGAGTCGAGTAGTGCTTCAACAAGTGAGTCAAAACTCGTGTCAGATGAGTCAGAATCTGCGTCACAAGAACCAAACTCAAGAGGTCCCCCCACTCAAAGTTATTTTGCTAGTGTTTGATTGTGTCTTTTTTGGGGGCATCTGTATGATCTTGTCGTTTCTACGCAAGATTGTGAGATTGTCTTCTTCTAGCCTACACATATTGTTTAAGTGGGAGGCCCCTCGGGCAAAGTCCATATGGCCATGGCCAGCCAGAAGCAGTTTAAAAGTCCAGAATGCTAGCATATTCCCTTGTTAACTGCAGAATCCAGCAGAAGCCTTCACCAGATAAAATAATTTCAGGTGTGGGACCCTTTTGGTGGCGCTCCCAACCTTGGGGTCGCGACCCCATTTTGGGTCGTGAAAATTTTTTGTTGGGTCGCGGCGTGGTGCTTGGGGTCGTCTGGGGTCGCGGGGAGAAATTGGGAGCACAAAGTAAAACATGAAATTCCAGGTATTACAGCTGTTAGAGACATAACAACACATACCAGATTAAATTGCATACCCATTTAAAAAATTCAACAGAACAGAGAGGACTTGTGGGGTCGCGAAAATTTTTGGCAGCCATTTTGGGGTCACTGTGGGTCACACGGGTGGGGTCCACCTTTCCGGGACGACCCAAGGAAGGGAGGTGTGCGAGCTTGGCAGCTAGGCGATGCTGGCCCTGTTTTCATCCAGCTAGTGCAGCGGTTCCCAACCTTTTTCGTCTCGCGACCTGAAATTATTTTATCTGGTGAAGGCTTCTGCTGGATTCTGCAGTTAACAAGGGAATATGCTAGCATTCTGGACTTTTAAACTGCTTCTGGCTGGCCATGGCCATATGGACTTTGCCGCGGACGACGCCGAGGGGCGGGGCGGGGCGGGGCGGGGCGGGGCCCTTGTTCCGCGGCGTGGCCGTGGCCGCGGGGGCATGTGCACTCGACTCGACCTGCGTTCGCCGGTTCGGCTGCACCCGATCACGTCAGGTCGTGAAAATTTTTTGTTGGGTCGCGGCGTGGTGCTTGGGGTCGTCTGGGGTCGCGGGGAGAAATTGGGAGCACAAAGTAAAACATGAAATTCCAGGTATTACAGCTGTTAGAGACATAACAACACATACCAGATTAAATTGCATACCCATTTAAAAAATTCAACAGAACAGAGAGGACTTGTGGGGTCGCGAAAATTTTTGGCAGCCATTTTGGGGTCGCGAGACGAAAAAGGTTGGGAACCGCTGCACTAGCTGGATGAAAACAGGGCCAGCATCGCCTAGCTGCCAAGCTCGCACACCTCCCTTCCTTGGGTCACTGTGGGTCACACGGGTGGGGTCCACCTTTCCGGGACGACGTGATCGGGTGCAGCCGAACCGGCGAACGCAGGTCGAGTCGAGTGCACATGCCCCCGCGGCCACGGCCACGCCGCGGAACAAGGGCCCCGCCCCCCGCCCCGCCCCGCCCCGCCCCGCCCCGCCCCGCCCCGCCCCGCCCGCCCCGCCCGCCCCGCCCCGCCCGCCCCGCCCTCGGCGTCGTCCGCGGCGCGCAGCGTGCCGAGAGGGCGACAGGGACGAATCGGTGACCGATCCCGAAATGAGCCTGGCCGCCGTCTGCATATGAATTGGCTATATAGCGAGCCGAGCGGCGGGGCCCCGGGACAGATCCCGTCGGCGGGGCAAGGGCTTGACAACGGAGACGACTAGCGTGGCGCAGCGTGGCGCAGCGTGGCGCAGCCCGAGTCCGGCCCCAGCAGTCCAGTCCGCCCTCCAGCGCCGCGCGTCGTCGCCGCAGCCTCGCCGTCGCTCTGCTGTAAGCGCCTTCCGTTTGGCGCGGCCGAGGCACGGCCAAGGCTCGGCCTGGTAGGTGCGCCCCGCGCCGCCCGCGCCGCGCATCCCCGGGCGTCACGGCCTGGCCCTCGGCCTGGCCCTCGGCCTGGCCGGACAGGCAGGGCCAGGCAGGGCAGGCTGAAGGATTAGTTTGGCCTGGAATACATGAATGTCTGAGCGGGTCGAAGTAGTGTCCGTTCCCACCGACGCCGCCGCCGCGTCCCTTGTCGCGTCGCCATCGGCTGGGTCCATCTCCTGGGCCGCGCCGCCCCGCGCACCTGGGCGGCCACGTCTTAATCTTGTTACGGCCCGCTCCCTCGAGAAGCACTGACGGCGGGGAAGTCCACCCTTCACCTTTCGTTGACGAGTCCTCTCTGCCTGTTGACAGCCATGGAGTGCCTGATCCGCGACGGGCTGCCCGCCGTGCCCGCAGCCTGGTGGACGCCGGCCGCCGCCGTCGCCGCCGTGGTGGCCTTCCTGTACTACGTCCTCCGCGTGCCCGTCAACTGGACCAAGGTAAGCGATGACAAAGCGGCCGACAAGGCCGCCGCCGTTACTTTCATTCCAAGGCCGGCTGCTGACCGACGTGATTTTGGCGGCGTTTGCAGGAGCTTTGCGACGTGGGGTTCGACCCGCCGGACCGCGGCCTCGGCCTCGGCTTCGGCCTCGGCGCGAGCCGCCGGTCGCGCTCGGCCGTGATGCGGCAGGCGCAGGGCAAGCGGCGCATCGGCAACCTGCCGCCCGTGTTCCCCAACGGCTGGTTCAGCGTGCTCGAGTCCAGCCGCCTGGGCCGCGGCGCCGTGGAGCACGTCGCGGCCCTGGGCCAGAACCTGGCCGTGTTCCGCGGCGACGCCGGCCACGTCCACGTGCTGGACGCCTACTGCCCGCACATGGGCGCCAACATGGCGGTGGGCGGCCGCGTCCACGGCGACTGCCTCGAGTGCCCGTTCCACGAGTGGAGCTTCGACGGCCGCGACGGCTCCTGCTCGTCGGTGCCCTACGCGCAGAAAGGTAAGAGTCCGTAGCTCGCCGCAGAGTCTGGTGGCACCTTGAGTGTGTGGCCTCAAGGAGCACGTCTTGACAGTTTTGAAAATTTTCACAGCCTTGACCGGCAACTTGTTGCAACTTGCAGTGCCCGACTTCGCGCGCGTGCGCCACTGGGAGAGCTTCGAGACGAACGGCTTCATCTTCGTGTGGCACCACGCCGAGGGCGACGCGCCCAGCTGGTGGCCGCAGCCCGTGGCCGCCATCGAGGACGGCTCCTGGGCCTTCGTGGGCCGCAACGAGTTCCTCGTGTCCTGCCACATCCAGGAGATCCCCGAGAACGGCGCTGACGTGGCGCACCTCAACGCCGTGCACGGGCCCGGCATGGTGGGCCGCGGGCTGTCGCGGCACCTGTGGGACGCGCAGTGGACGCCCGGCGCCGACGACCGCCCGCACACCGCCACGCTCAAGCTCAACCACCAGCTCGACCTGTTCGGCAAGTTCCGCATGCTCAAGATGGACGTGTGCGCCAACCAGGTAAGGCCGAGCCCTGAGCGCCGCGTGAGCGGTGCGCCAGAGGCCAGAGGACGCCAAACTGTAGTCCAGAACACCGGCGGCGACGGCCAAAATTCTAGACGCGTATCTCCAGAGTCGCTGAACAGGACTCGAACCAAACGTGTGACCCCACCAATGGATTCCTCGTTTTGAAAGCAATCCATTAGTAGGGTTATACGTTCGGTTCGAGTCCCATTTAGCGACTCTGAAGCTCAAACCGCGTCTAAAGTTTTGGCCGCCTGCAGCGGTCGGGTGGTGCGCCGGTGCGCCCGTATGGCAGGCAACCCAACTAAGGCCGCTGTGATGCAGATCGGCCCCGGCTACGTGGAGATGTCCATGGAGACGCAGTTCGGCCCCATCATCATCGTGCAGTCCGTGACGCCGGTGGAGCCGCTCCTCCAGAAGGTGATCCACCGCATGTACTGCCCGCCCCTGCTCGTGCCCTACGCCAAGATCGTCCTCTACGGGGAGTGCGTCATGGTGAGTCCTCGGTTCCCTCCTGCGTGGGCCCGCAGCAGGCGCGCTGCTGCATCTCAAAATTAGCAAAGCCCACTGATGTTACGTTTCTCGTCTTCCACTGTTTCAGTTCGAGCGTGACGTGCTGGTGTGGAATCACAAGCAGTTCCAGGACAAGCCGCTGCTGGTGAAGGAGGACCGACTCATCTCGCGCTACCGCCGCTGGTTCTCGCAGTTCTACTCGGAGAACAGCCCCAAGCACGCCTTTCGGAAGGAGACGATGGAGTGGTGACGTGGAGGGAGACGTGGTCACCCACAGTCCAAGCCGCGCAGGGGCTTCCAAAGAGGACCGTGGACCAGGGGGCACAGTGGGCCAAAAGACCGCTGGAGGCGGCCAAAATTCAAGACGCGTTTTGAGCTCCGGAGTCGCTAAATAGAACTCGAACTGAACGTGTGACCCGACCAATGGATCGGTCTGCGAACGAGGAATCCATTGGTGGGGTCACACGTACGGTTCGAGTCTTGTTTACCGACTCTGGAGCTCAAAACGCGTCTAGAGTTGGCCAACCCCGCCGGTCTTTTTGCCCACTGTGGGGCGGGGCGCGACGCGCTGCCTGCCTAATTTATAATTGTGATCAGACACTCGCGACAAGAGTTGTGAGAACCGTAGTTTGTAATGTTCCTTTAATGTGCCTTGTTTAGGAGGAGCAGTATCGCAATTTGAATAAGGCGTTTCAGACGTAGTACTTGAATCGGAATCCACGAACTGCGTGGCAGTCTTCGAGCCTCTCGTGGTCTCTGGAAACTTGTGAAGATACAAAGGAAACGCCAAAGACCTATTGCATTTCTTGCGCTTTCCCCGACGGACACGTGGATGTTAGTTTATATTCATGTATTTATTGCTTAGCATAAACGAAATTCGTATTTAACTTTACGCTTCTGATGTAAGTATGTTTAACCAACCATCATGTAATGCTGCATTCCGCCACCAAAAGCTCTCTTTTAAATCCTTCCACGAAAGGAACTGATATGTTTCCGCACTATAACATAAGTTTTGTGTATATATTAAATAATTTTATTTATGTGATGTGACATGTGATTTTCTCAATGCACTCACTGTGCAGTACAAACTAATTTCGACCTAGATAAGATAGAGTGGACCCTGTTTAATGTAGTACGGCCTGCTATTGCAAGTAAAATTTATGTTGTTAATAAATCCTGTGTTTTATTTAAGAAGTCCGGAAAACTTTTTCTACCTCTCTTCCTACACGAAAGTACTGCCAGTTGCAAACGTACCTGACATTCGGTCGCAGTGTCTTAACCCTTCAATTTTGAGTTGTAAATCAAGCGAGCCTAATGCAGCTTGGGATGAGGCCTTCAATCAGCTCGCTTACTGTACCTCTCTAAATTTAACGGATTAGAAGTTGTGACCGGAAAACCCGGCAGTACGTGGGACGTACCTCTGTACGTCCGCCTAACGCCCGTTGGGTAGGCCACCCTTTCTACAGACCGACCCCACGCGCCAAGGCGGCCGAGGCACGGGGTAGAGACAGGCGGCATCGGGGTATCGGTCGGCGTGGGGTATCGCCGGCAGGCGGGCAGCGAGGCCGTGAGCGAGGCGAGGCGACGAAGGCGACGCAGTGGCCACTGGCGCCACCTAGCGCCCGTTGTCACAAGCAGCAACAAAAACAAGCGCTCCCATCTTTCCTGCACCTAATATGCGATCTTGGGTTCGGGTGAGGGCACGCTAGCGGCGATATTACTGACTTGTTTAAAAGATTAAGGTTTAAGGTGTAAGGATGGACGTTCAACAAACGGCTCCGTCAAGCATGAGCCTCTCAGCGTGTTTATAAATTTATTTGCAGCAAGAATTACAAAAGCCAATGCCCTGAAAGCGGTTCTTTTTCTCGGCAATTTTGAATTGCCCCCAAAATATTAGAGACGTTTTGAAAATAGGCCTGATTTTGAGACGCACCCGGGCTGCAGCTCGGCTCGCAGCCTAAGTGGATCCGGTCCTTCATTCCCTTTTCCCGACGCCCTCTCTTGCAGCGCCCCGGCAGTGCCCAGCGCAGGTCTGGGCCCTCGGCGGGGCCCTCGGCTGGGCCCCATGAATGCGTACCGCCCGGCGCGCCCCGCGCTGGGCCAAACAAAGGCGGCCGAGAAGCAACCCTTCAGCGGCCACTCAGAGGAGAGTAGCCCCGCACCAACCCCCACCAGCCCGCGCCCGCCCCGCGCCCGGCCGCCACCCAGGCGCCGCGCTGAAAGCGCTCAAAGCGCCCAAAGCCCGCACCGAGAGCCGAAAGCCCTTTCCGAACCTGCCGAAGGCCGAGAGCGGCCTGGAAGTGGGAAAACTTGACATCCGCGCTGTGTATTCAAGCCAATTCCCCGTAATACGTCACTCCAGCAGCGTGCGGGGGCTGCTCGGCCCAAGCCAAGTGAAGCCAGCCAGCACGCCAGCACGCCAGCACGCCAGCCAGCCCTCGCCGACCCCAACTTTGCACCGCTTCACCCTCTCTCCCCCGGCGCTCATCCGGCACCGACACCATCGCCGCGCCTCGCCCAGCGCCGCCCCGCCCCGCCTCCTCTCGTTAGGCCAAAGCTCCTTTGCCATTGCTCTGTCCGTCCACCGCAATCCCCCGCCTCGCTTTGGCGCCCGTTCCAACCGCCCGTCTAATTACTACGCCATGGCTGCCATGGCCTTCGGGTCCTTCGAGGAGGGAAGGGAGGCGACGCGTAGCGACGCGCGTCGGCAGCGCCTGCAGCCGGGCTGCCTACCCAGCCGGCGCAGCGGCGCACTGCCCGCCCGGCAGACGCAGCGGCCCGCCCCGACGGCCCCGACGGCCCCGACAGCCCCGACAGCCCCGTCGGGCCGTGGAGGTGCAGCGCTAGAGCACGGAGCCTGCCTCTGGAGCCAGCCGCCCGCCTGCCGGAGTGGGATGAGAGACTAGAGAGACTCGACCCGACTCCACTAGAGCTGCCAATATTTGTTCTGCCTGTTTCGCTACGGCAAGCGCCGGGGCGCGGAGGTGAAGGAGAAAGGGGTTAGTTCAGCCCCCGCCCCCTCCCCTCCAGGTTCGAGATCCCGCTCCCCTGCGGAGGCGAGGTCCAACATTTCGCCAACATCCTCTGCTACGTCGCTGCGTCGCGCCATGGTCGCGCGCCGTTCTCGCGCCGTTCTCGCGCAGGGTTAGCGCCGCATCCAGCCATCATAGAGAGGCGGGCGGCCAAGATCTCCAAATATTTTACGACAAGAAGTCGCCAGGATGTCCGGCAGGGGCGGGACGCGGCCGAGGGGAGGGGGCGTGAGGGATGGCGATGGCGAGGGGAGGGGGCAGCGCCTGCACCGTGTAAAACTGCCACCGAGCAGGCCAGCAGGCTGATTCTGAGCGGGGGTACCGGTCGCTCTGTCTCTCTCGCACCCACGCCAAATGAATGCGAGAGACACAGGAAGAGAGAGAGGGAGGGACTTTCACTCGGAATCAGCCTGCAGCCTTCGGGCGGCAGGCAGGCGCTTCACTTATTCACCATCATCTCTGTCGCGGGACCGGGGCTGGGGCCCACTGGGGCCCGGCCGGCCGGTCACCGAGCGATGCAGCGGGACGCAGCGGGACGCAGCGGGACGGGTTAAACAGCGGCTCGACTCATCCCGAGTGCCGAGTGGCCTTCCCTTTTTCTTCCCTCGTGCAAACTGAGCCGACGGGTCAACACGGCGGGGAAAGCGCATGGCCCTGCCGCCCTGCCGCCCTGCCGCCCTGCCGCCCTGCCGCCCCGCCGCCCGCCGCCTGCCGAATCAGCCGCCGCCTGGCCCTGGGGTGGGGCGGGGTGGCAAATCAAGGAGCCGCACTGGCCGTCCTGTCCTCGCCACGCCGGACAGGCAGTCGGCCGGACAAACGGACAGCCAGGCGGACAGCCAGGCGGACAGCCGGGCGGACAGCCCAGCAGATCAAGAGAGAGCGTACCGTGCCGCTGGGTTGCGAGGCAACGCTGGCTGCCGCCTCTGCTGGGCGACGCCGTGCTACGCCGTGCTACGCCTGGGCTGCGCGCGCGCTGCGCCTGCCTGCTTGCCGTGCGCGCTGCGCGCCGCCGCGGCCCCCGCCGCCACAGCCGGTGATCAATAGAGGGCTCCGTACGCCCCCCACCAGAGGGGCAGGCGCGGCAGGCGGGCGGGCAGGCAGCCCCCCGCGGGTGGGGGGTCCCCGGCAGCATCTCGCCCTTCTCCACTCCAGCCGTCCCGTCCCGTCCCGGCCGTCCTGCGCCGCGTCGAGCGCAGTAGAGCGCCGCGCTGCCAGTCGCTGGCTGCCCGCGCCCCCTTCGTGACGCCGCCCCGCCGCCACGCCGCCGGCACTCTGCGCGGTGCCCCAGCGCGGTGCCCTAGCGCGGTGCCAGCCAGCCCCTCGCCCTGCGCGGGGCCTGCCAGCAGAGGCCGAGGCAGAGGCCGCCAGCACAGGCCTGCCAGCCCCATGGACACCGCCAAGCAGCTAGAGGCTTAGTGTCCGGCCTGGTGCCGGGGAGCGCCCCCTGGTCCAGGACCCCCCCGCCACGCCCCGCCCCCGCGCCCCGCCCGGCGCGGACCCAGCGAGGAGCCCCTCCAGCTGCAGCATGGCGCCCACACCGCCCACACCGCACGGCGCGCACAGCCCCTCCAGGTGGGTACGGCAGGACGGCACTAATTGCCTTAGCGGCCACCTAGCGGCTCCGCGGGGAGGCTTACGGACGGCCTTCCGGACCAGCGCGGGAACAAGCTAAACAAGCTAAACAAGCTCCGAGCCCGAGGTGGCGCCGAGTGCCGAGAACCAAAACACTGCATGAGTTAGCAGTGCGTTAGCGCGGCGTTAGCGCGCCCGGCTCGAGGACGTGGGGGATTTACCTGGGGGCGTTCTCGTTCTCGCCACCACGCCTAGACTGCCATAATTTCGCTGGCAAACCCGAAAGGTTTCGCGTTCGGCGCGCCCCGCCCCGGCGGCACCGCGGTTCGACACCTACCGTGTGCAGCAAGGTGCTGTCAAAATCGGCCGCTTGGAATCGTAAAAAAGGATCACGGTCGAAGGCAGCCGGCGTGGTGCTGCTAGCGGGTAGGGTAGTGTAGGGGACCCCGGTCCGCCGGGCGACACGGTGCGGGAGGGGGTGGGGGTGAGCGGGAGGGCAGCGGGAGCCGCCGCGAGGTATGTGGGCATCGGTCTCTCTCTGCCAAGTCATAATTATTGTCAGAAACGGGGCGTCCGCATGGCGGCGGCGACAGGCGCGGGTCGCTGCCAACTTCGGGGCAGGCGCGGGCCGCAGCCAGGCGCGGCGCGCTCACAATGCAGGCACACAGGTCGCGGCCCGCGGCCCCACGCGGCCCCAGACATCAAGACGTCAAGACATCAAGACATCAGCAAGACCGTAGCGACGCAGCTTCCCTCGCACGCGGACCACCGGGGCCGCCCACTGCCGCCGTGCCGCCCCACGTCGCTCTGTCCCTCTCGCACTCCTACCGCATGCGAGAGAGACTGCAGCCAGGCTGAAAAGTCGAGAGGAGAAACCGGGAGAAAGGGAGAGAGAGACGGCTGATCCACTTGGAGCAAGTGATACGGATTGAAAAGGAATGTGGCGATCGGACCACTCCAGGTCCAGGTCTTTGGCCCAGGATGACTCCACCCCACCCTGCTCCACTTCCAGCACGCTTCCAGCACGGCCCGCCAGCGGCCCGCCGCCCCGTCAGCCTCCCCGGGGGAGGGAGAGCGCCCCCTCGTCGCCGTCTCCAGTGCTCCGGAGGAGGGCGGGGGAGGGGGCGGGGTGGAGGCGCGGCTCGAGCGGAAGGGCTCCGGGGACCTGTTTTAGCTCTTTAAACTCGATCCCTGCAATTACCCCGCTGGGCCGCCGAGTCCCGCCCCGCCCCGCCGACTGCCTGCAGGGCCTGCAGGGCCTGCACTGTGATGTAGCCGCTCGCCTTGCCCTCGCGCTTCGCCTCGTGGCCATTTTTGCCGAGCACTGGGTTGTACATCAGCGGCCGGGAACGGCTTCTTATCGTGTGCCTCCGAAAGGGCGGCAAGGCGGCCGTGGGCCATGGCGACTGAGCGAGACGGCCGCTAAATGGCGTTTCGCCCGCGGCCCGGGCCCGGCCCGATCTGCACATCGAACCCAACAAACGGCGAGGCGGGGGGAGGGGGCCGCGGGGAGGGCCGGGACTCGCGGAACGTAAACGGTTTTGGACGGCCGCCAGCCGAGACTTGAGGACTGCGTTCGGATTCGCC